AAAGCATGTACCTTTGCACGTATGTATATATTTATATATATACACACATTATATACATATTATACCACGGTTAAGTAAATCCATTTAGAGAGATCGCCAGTAACAACCACTGTACTCATCTTTGTCGTAACGGGCATGCTTCAAGGCAGCTTTGTAATGTGAGCCGCGGATGAACTCGCAGGGGTGGTAGTTGCGGCACCGATTACTGCTAGTAAGTGCTAGAACTAGTCATAGTGGTGGCGTCCCTGTGGTGAAAAAAAACGGCAGGAGTAGTACAGTAACAAAAGATGGTACCGGTAATACGAACGGAAACAGACAGGCCGCCGCCGGAGTATCAGCAGCAGCAGTGCTACTGCTAGCGCCAGCAGTATGATGTCGTGCTAACCACTTGACTCTTGCAGCAAGCTCTAAGTTAACTAAACCACAAAGCCCCAAACGTTGCAGCATTAATTAAACCTAAATGCTAAATAACAGCAGCGGGACTCACCGAAATGGAGGTCTCTGGAAGCAGTGGCAACTGTACACATCAAACAACCGAACACACTGATATCATCGTCAGACCATCAGAGGCGCATCTAGAATTTTATCCCATCTCCCATCTACATCCCGTCCTTCCAAAGCTTGCACGACCCACAAAGGAACCCAGACGCCCACACAAAGCAGCAAACCCAGAGAGCCCAATACCCCTTAATTAAGGAATATACCTTAAATCATAATATTAAGGCCCCTATAATTTAAGGTATGTTCCTTAATTAAGGGGTATTGGGCTTTCTGGGAACCAACCTGATCATGACTTGCACCGTTTAGGGCTTGGGGCAGTCAGGGTTTCGGGGTAGTTAGTAGAGTTGGCCTTACCTACCTATAGGCTCCACTGTAGCTCCTGTGTTGTGGTCCATATTTGGGATCCTAGAAGGCACTCCCAAAAAGGAACTACAATGGAGACCATGGGTATGAAAACAGCCGCAGTTCCGTCGTCGATCGCCGCTTGCAGCTGAGAGCCTTGAATGCGCTTGTGTACTTCCAAACGAGTCTATGAATCCTAGGCGTTTACAGCGAATCCCAGAAAGTTGGAACATGGGTTTAGGAGGATTAGTGCTAGGATTCCCTTTACCTAAACATAAGGGCATCAGTATAGTGATGTTCCAACTTTCTGGCTCCTACGTTAGGGTTTGGGGTTGAAGGTCTGCCTGGGAATGATGAGTTCGGGAGACTGTTTGAACTACTGCTGTAAGAACTTGTGGAGCATCAAGGTACGATTCTACGAACGGTACAAGTAAGTTCAGATTGAAAGACGGAACAGCGAACAGGTCGGGTTCAAATCCCAGAAATCTCGGAAATCTCCAAGCAACCTTTGTGTTAAAAGAACGAACCCTAAAACTTAAACCCTAAAAGAACGAGGAGCGCACGGAATGACGTGCCGAAGAAACCAGGAGCGAGACGGCCCCTCTGGGCTGGTAACTCTTGAAGTTCTTGGCATGGTCCATGGGCATGCTCCGGACCTATCCAGGCTCGACTAGGAGTTCCTTTAAGGGTTCCTTTAAGGGATTCTATACGGGCTTCTATTAAGATTCGCGGTTTCAGGTTCGGGTTGTACAGGGTTGTAATTGGGTTTTAGGCGTTCTGAGGCGTTCTTGCCGGTTTTTGTTGGGTCTTATGGCGGGTTAGGGTTGTAATGGTATTACCTACAATGAGGGTTTAGATGAGATTAGTGTTTAGGGTGCAACCCGTAAACTTTATATCAAAATCCGTCCAGGGCCGTTCAGAGAGACGTCCTAAAAACTATGCAGAGCTTAGCAAGAAAACCATTGCACCAAAATCCTATACCCGAAACCTTAAATCCTAAACCCTTACAAACCCTTCGCGCGCCTGTCTCGCCGCCGCCCCGGAAGCCTCCGACGCGATCTGCGCCAAGTGCGCCAACTGCCCTTCGGGATGGGCACTGGTACAGGGCCTCTATATTTTGAGAAGCCTTAAACCCTAAACCCCTATAAACCCTAAACCCTTCAACCCCTATATAACCCTAAACCCCTATAACCCCTAAAACCCTGCACGGTTTTGGGGGGGGGGGGGGTTTTGGTCGTAGAGGTGCAATGGGGAGCCCCAGGGACCGGCAGTCTTGGGGTGGGGAGGAATTCCCCATTGAGGCGCATTGACCACTGAGATGCCGTAGCCTAAACCCTCTAAACCCTACACCCCTAAACCCCAAACCCCAAACCCTACAAACCCTACACCCCTAAACCCTTAACCCTAAACCCGTGTCCTTGTCGGTACAGGCTTTGCACCATTCCTGTGCTCAGCTCGAGAAGTGGCTGTTTCTCGTGCTGTGCCAAAGCGAAAGCCAGTAGTTCCTAGGCAGGGCTTCGAGCCTAGAAGTTGGGGCCTGACAGCACTAGACAATTGAAAAAGGTCAATATAGGAGCCTGAATCATTAGAATAGGGTTTGGGCGTATATTAAATTATAACTACAATAGACTATAAAAGCGAACCCACAAAATAGTATAGGTGATGGATTATAGCCTCTGTGCTAAACAAAGGAAAGAACGGTTACCCATGCGCTTCCGAAGCTCATAGTGCAGCATCCGGTGGCACTCTTTCTCGAGCTTGCTGGCCATGACTCTTGCGCGACTCTGCATCTCACTTGCTTCGCTCCCTGCACCCTGCATGAGCGCAGCATGCTTCTTTGAGCTTTCACTTGGTCCCTGTTGAAGGATCTCGGCTGTTACCTTGGCCATGGATTTCACCACGACGTTCAGCACCTCGCTGAAAAGCGGCGTCTGAACCTGCGAATGGTTCCAAAGAGCGAAGCGGCCCTGGTCGCGGAACTGGACGAGGCTTGCTTGAACACTCCGGTCCCATATCCTGGCTTTTTTTTCAGGACACTAACTTCAGATACCAGAAAAGGGACATCAGTCAAGAATCTGTTTTCCTAAGTATAGAAACCCAGCTTAGACTTAAACAGGACCCAGCATCCGAAGGGAGGTAGCTGAGTCCTCAGCCTGTGAGGGCGAGGGTTCTTCGTGGAGTTCGTCGTCAACGACTTCGGCCAAGGGCTCAAGTGATGTAGATGAGTCGTCATGTGCGGGAACTGGTTGCGCCAGGCGAGGTGGCGACTCTGTTTCGGAGTCCTCGTGGCCCAGTGCCAATGCCTTACTTGTCCGGTTGCCTTAAGACATCGCTCACCTCTTGGGAATGAACCCTAGACCCTAAACATATTCTGATTATCTTTATCCCTATGCTCATATTACTTAGATAGCTTATTGCTATTGCAAGCATTATTATTGTAAAAATCTTAAGCAAACTTCAAACCCCAAACCCCTAAACCCCTAAACCCCTAAACCCTAAACCCCTAAACCCCTAAACCCCTAAACCCTAAACCCCTAAACCCCTAAACTCGTTCTGCTCAGGTGCCAAAGGCTGGGCGAGCTCCGGGTGCTTTAAAAGCTCTCGGCCCAGGCTCTCGAAAGCTGCATCCCCAAACTGGGAGATCTGGTCGAGCGTGTCCTTGGCTGCTCTTTGGAGGCCCTTTTTAAGAATTAGTGTGTATATACACATATATATATATATGGCACATATATATATATATATTATTCATTTATTCATTTATTTATTTTTTATTTGCTTATTTACTTATATCTTATTTATTTATAGTTGTTGATTTATGCTCAGTCTCAATGAGACTATACTATACTAATGTCAAAAGAAAAAATGGTTATGTTCAAGAGCGGCCTGGTATCTGGCAACTGTTTCGTCTCAACCCACTCCATGATCTGCCTCGAATAAGGATCTCAGCGCTACTCAACAACTGTTTTGCACAGAAGCCCTAAACCTCTAATGCTGAAGCCCGAGCCGAGGAACTTCTTTAGTTGCTTCTTCTGCTCCATGTCTCCTTGCTCTCCTGCGAGTGCCTCCATCGTGGGATGAGCGGGAGACTTGGCGAGAAGTGCGCGCTTCCTTTTCCGCAGAAGGAACAAATCCTTAGGCCAGCAAGAGCTGCAGGACCACCAACCCTAAACCCTAAACCCAAAACCCTAATTCCCTAAACCCACTTCGTTTCGAACATGCCCTGTTCGACAGTCTTGGCAGACGCGAGTCGACTCTGTATCCCACAAACCCTAACACTACATGCTGCCACTACTTGGGTTAGTTCTCTAAAGTAGGGTCCCTTTACATAAGGGTTCATTAAAGGGATCTATAAGGGCTATAAGGGTACTATAAGGTCCATATGGGTAGTTCTCTAAAGTAGGGTCCCTTTCTAGGTCCCTAAAATAGTACGGCACCCTATTAAAAAAAAAACCTAAAAGGCACTCTGCTTTAGAGAACTAGCCCCATGCTGCCACTACTTCCTGCATCCAAAACCAAACAAACCCCACCCCCGAACCCCCTGCAACAGAAATCCTGCGAGGTGCCACAGAGTCGAAGGAGTCGTCCTCCTCTTCGTCCTCGTCGCTCTTTAGGGCCTGAACGATAGGAATAGTTTTCCTAATGCTTCCTCATAATACGAACCAGACAGCCTAAACCCTAAACCCTAAACCCCGAAACCCTAAACCCCGACACCCTAAACCCCGAAACCCTAAACCCCGAAACAATTATCAAGGCCTGACAGGAGTCCGGCTCTCCGCGGTGCTCGGGCATCACCTGGGGCTCGGGGGATGTAAAGGCCCATAAGCTAAATTGGCGTTTAGGGTTTAGGGTTTAGGGGGCAGTCTCTTTATCTGTTCCTAATACTGCCCGATATAGCCCTAATAAGGATCCCTATATACAACCCCTTAAAACAAAAAATCCCATGTAAAGAGACCACCGACCGCCCATAAGGCTTTTTCAGGTCGCAGCTTTCATAAGGCTTTCACAAGGCTTTCTATGGCTTTCGAAGGTTTCCCTACAAACCCTAAACCCTATAAACCCCAAACCCTATAAGCCCTAAACCCTATAAACCCAATAAGCCCTAAACCCTAAACCGCTTCAGGGTGGCGGCTTTGCGTCGGTACCTTCCCGAAAGCTTGAGCCCTCGGCCCCGACTCATCCCTTGGTTAGAGAAGTCTCCTAGGCCCTACCTGCAGACCCCAAACCCTGCCCCTTTAGGGTTCCTTATGACGGCTTCTTTTTTATACTTCTTTTGAAAAGCTCGGTTTTGGGGGCTACCGGTAACCTTACGGGAAAAAAACCTTGAAAGTTGCAAACGAATAGGAGTACAAGAGTTTGGGGCTTAGGGCTTAGGGTCTAAGGTTTAGGAGTACAAGACTTAAGCCCTTTGTTTGAGCACGTTCGCGCTGAATGGACATTTTAAACATGCTTTGGCACTTCAGACGTAACACCTCTAGACTCTCATAAACTCGTTCTCCAGCCGTTCCTTCCTTGAGCACAGGCGAAGCTTTGCTCCAACACACTACATATAGTACTTCTGTACCCAGCGCAAATCTCCTCTAACACGATGGTAACCCTTCAGCCCCAAAGCATATATAGACACTAACAAATGCTTCCCTTTTGAGGGCTCCTCAATTTTCACGGATGCTTCACAACCCTAAAGTTACCCTAAACCCTACACCGTACAAGCTGTCTTGACACATATGTAGGTTTGTTGGGCTACAGGTCAACCCAAATCCCGAAGCCCCCCTAAACCCTAAANNAAGCCCCTAAACCCTACGCGCTTGAAGCCCTAAATCCTAGCAACCCCTACAAGCAACTGGGAGTCGATTTCAACAGTCCACAAAATTAACTATAATTAGGGCTATATATTAAACAACAAAGGAAAAATTAAAAACTCATCCCAAAGCGATACCTAGCTAAACCCTGAACCCTAAACC